CATGTTCACACCGTCCTTTGTCACATTCGCACACCTCCAGGAAAACTAGTGACCTGCTTGGTGAGCGGGCTGTTTTCTTAATCTTGGTAAGCCAGTCTCTCTGTGTCTGTGAAGTGGCAGTAACAACTCTTCAGGGCAGGAGGGCTCAGGGAGATGCCAGCTGTGACACAGGCAACAGATGGGAGGGAGGTGTGGTTAGCATGGATACTGGACCTTCCCTTCCTTATTCTTCTCGTCTGTGTCCACATGGAGTGACACCAGGGAGCCCGAGAGATGTCTGCTTGAAGCCAGTGTCTGGAGGACTGGGTGGCATGCTGGGTCTCAGTACTCCTTCCCACCATAGGTGTGCCCACCCGTCTGTGGTGCATGGGCTGTGAGGTTCGTTTTTCCCAAGAGCTGTGAACTTCTGGAGGGGTGCTCTGACTCATTTGGACCCCCAAAGCTTCCACACCAAATCTGACACAGTGCTTGATGGCCACAGAACCATCACAAGGAAACACAAAGGACCTCTTATTTTAGAAACAGAGGAGTTCCAGACAATAACCAAACTTGGGAGTGTGGCTCACCACTCACGAGTGTGACCTGGACCCGATGGTTCAGCTCTCCAAGCTTCAGTTCTGTGTCCAAAAATAGACTCAATAATAGCTACCTCTGCAGGTTGTTATAGGGATTGGAGATGACGTCAGAGACAAACCCCAACACGCCATGGCCCAGCGCATAGTAGGAGCTCAATAAACGGAAGCAGTGATTGATTGCCTGTGGTCACAGGATTGTTGGTGTGTGCCTGAAGCAGTCTTGCTCCAAGAACTTTGGAGTTCATAGCAAGTGACACACAGCTTTGGTGCCACGGGAACTTCTCTCGTTTTGGTCTTCACATGAATATCGGGGGTTCTCACCATGGTTCATTCTGCAGTGACTTAGTAGCCTGGGTACTCAGTGGTACTCACCTCCTGTCTGCTGTGGGTAGCTACTACCTGGATTTCGTCTCTGTTGATGATAGGGGTTGGGATAGATATAGAAAGGGGCCATGTCCTCTGTCAGTTCTCCCTCAAGTCAACAGTTGGAAGTGAAACTGATGTTTGTATTGGAGCAGATGTTACAGTGATCCAGCTGCTACCTCTCACAACTCTGGTCACCTTTTAAGATTCCTGTTGGTGTTTTGAGACAGGGTCTCATTGTGTTTTAAGAGTTTGATTTGGGTAGAAATAAATACAACCATTTTATAGAAGCCCCCCTCCCACCTCCATGGCTTTATGTTCCACCACGGTTTCAGGTCCCAGGTCCATTACTATTTATGTGTGTGTGTGTGTGTGTATATATATATATATATATATATATATATATATATATATATATATATATATATGGAAAATGATGTATCTTGAGATGAAGAGGGGGAGAAGGAAGGACAGCCAACATGCATCCATGCAGATTTATAAATTAGCAGAGACAACAGGCTGACAAACCTATGACCCCAAAGGAACCTAGGAAGTTCCAATTTGTTGTGTTTTTAAAATTACGTTTGTTTATTTGTGTATACATGGAGGTCAGAGGACACCCTGCAAGAGCCAGTTCCCTGCTTCCACTGTATTGTCCTGGGGATTGAACTCAGGTGGTCAGGTTCAGTGCCTCTGCACACTGAAGTGTCTCACTGGCTCAGGAGGCCCCGTCTGTAACATGCCTGCCTTCTCCAGCCTGGATCTCCATTCTCCACTAATGCTCTGGCACTGGTTCTGCTATGGTCCCTTATGCCTCCAGCCTGGTGTCCGCAGGGGGAGCTGCAGGCAGGGGACAGGGGACACAGGCAGAGGGGAACACGTTGATGCATCGGAAGAGCCAACATGGCCCTTTCTGCCTGTCAGCCTGGGCAGGAGAGCCGGTGTCCAAACAGGCTCCAGTAACTTAGGGAGGGGCTAGTAGGGGTGGGAAGGAAGCATGTTGGTTTTGGACAGGAGAAGGGGGCAGCTTAGATCAGGTGACTGCTATCACCTGGCAGAGTAGACCCAGAGGATGGATCACAGAAGTCCCTTCCCACAGTAAGCCAGGCCTTCACCACCCCAGACATGGCCAGGTACAGCCTCCCGACTGACCCCACACTTCCCATCCTGTCCATTCATCAGCATCTTCTTCCAGGTCTGCCTTTTTAGGGATGGCCATCAGATCCGGAAGTCATGGCCACAGTACTTTCACCCAGTCTCACAGAACTGTGGGTGAAGGAGTTTGGAGATTACTTTTGCCCTGCCTGCAATCCCTGGAGTGGGAACTTGTAATCATTCTTGACAGTGACTCCCCAGACTTTCTCAGCCAGCAGCCCTGTCAGGTCCCCACTCCTCCTCATGGCCAGGCCAGGGCTGGAAGGCGCTTGAGTTCTTTAATGGTGTCGGCACCCATCTAGCCCTGGTATCTCACTGGCCCAGGTTCTGTGGTAGGAACCAGCTGAAGAAAGTTTTCCTCCTTGGGCTGGCAAGATGGTTCAGTGGATAAAGGTTTTGTCACAAAGTCTGAATCCCTGAATTGGATCCCCATGACCTAGTGTGGTAGAAAGGAATAGCTGGTTCCTGAAAGTTGTCTTTGGGCTTTTGTGCGTCCCTGTGAGCATACATACACATGCACACAAAATAAGTAGACAAAATATAATCAAGAGCTGGGCGTGGTGATACAGACCTTTAGTCCCAGCCCTTGGGAGGCAAAGGCAGGCAGATCTCTGTGAGTCTGAGGCCAGTCTGGCCTACATAGAGTTCCAGGCCAGCCAGGGATACATAGACTCTGTCTAAAAACAAATTAATAATAATAATAATAAATAATAATAATAATAACTTTTAAAGAAATGTTCTTTCCTCGGTGACATGGCTTTTCCCTGGTCTGCCTCTCCTCAAGGGCCTTTTTGCCAACCTCATCTCCACTGTAATTTGTGAGACACTTCTTCCAGAGGGTTCCAGAAGCAAGGCCCTAGACTCTTCAGGGCAGAAAGGGACTTTGGAACTTAGGATCCACCCATTTTATAGATGAGGAGACTGAGAGATTGCCTAAGGTCACACAGACAGAGAGGGCTGGACCAGCCCGGACTCTTGATTAAGGCCCTGCTCTTTCCCTGCAACCCGATGACCTTGGTGATCAGCTGGACGTGGAAGGAGGCATTCAGAGTTGGGACAGCAGTGCTCTCCATCCTGGTTTGTTTGTTTTCTGAGAGTCAGGCACAGCCTTCTGACTGATCCACACTTCCAGTCTTTCCTTTCTGTCTGTTCATGAGCATTTCCACCCAGCTCTGCCAACTTAGGAATGGCCATTGGACCTGGAAGTCATGACCTCCTTTCATGTCAAAGGACTGAATTTTACACTAATCCTACTGACCAGGCCGGCCTCCAACTCCAGATCCTCCTGCCTCAGCCTCCAAGTGTTGGGATTATGGGTGTGTGCCACTATATCCAGCTGAGACCACACTTCTAAGATTGCATTGTCTTTTTTTAGGGGGAGCCCACATCTCCTTATTAACAATAGCAATTGTTGAATTTTGCCTTACATGCACCATTGTGTAGTTCTCTGCTAGCAGTGTCCAGGGATTTCTCAGCACAGGCTGCCAGGTCAGGCTAGGTGATGCTAATCTGATCCTACTCCTAGTTGTGAGACTTCCCTTTACTGGGCTTGGGGACAATGACAGAATCTAACTGAGGCTTCCTGGAGTCAGGTGTCAGGTAAGGTCATCTGTGCAAAGTACTTCCTGTGCCAGGGACCAACAAGTGCTGTGTGTGTGTGTGTGTGTGTGTGTGTGTGTGTGTGTGTGTGTGTGTGTGTGTGTGTGTGGTCATCCTTAGGATCTTACAGGAAATGATACTTTGTGTCCCATCTTTGGGGATGTGGTTCCTTTCCATTTGGTCCAAACCTGACAAGTTTTTGGGAAGAGATTAGGATAAGTTCCCCAAGTATTTGTCCAGAGCTAGAAACCCTGAGCCCATTCGGACCCTCAGTGGAAGACCTGAGCATTAGGCAGATGAAGAAATCCCAAGAGAGACTCCCTGCCCCATCCCCTAGATCAAAGCAGGCTGACTAGGGTCAGAGACACCGACCACCTGAGACCTAGCTCTATCCAGCTGGGGCAAGTCCCTTTTTATTGTTGTTATTTTGAGACTGGGCCTCACATCACCATCCAACTTGTCGAGTAGCCGAGTCTGCCCTTCTGCTTCTGACCCACCTGAGTTGTTGGTGTGGTTGTGTTGTTGTTGTTGTTGCTGCTGCTGTCTGAACTCCTAAGAGATTACAGGTATACGACTGCCAGCTCTGGGCAGGGCAGGGTCTCACTATGTAATCCTGCCTAGCCTAGAACTCGATCTGTAGATCAGGCTAGCCTCAAACTCAGAGACCCACCTGCCTCTCTGTCTCCTGAGTGCTAGAATTAAAGGGTTTGTCACCATGCCCAGCTTAGGTCAGGTCTTGACATCATCTCAGGTGGCTGAGAACGGGAAAGGCATGGCAAGAAGCAGCAACTGTTTTAATGAACTTCTCTGCATGAGAGAAAATGAGGTCCAAGCGGAAAACACAAACAAACCCCCAGTGATACAGAAAATAGCAGTTCTCTGACTTACTAGTTGAATAGAAGGTTGTAAAATAAGCAAACGACAAAGCTTATAGTGGCCTCCGACTGGCTTAAAGATACAGAGATGGAAACACAGTGAGTCCTACATTTGAGAACTTGAGAGGATAAGCAGCCCAGACCAAAAAAACGAAGTAAGTCTCCATATCAGTCTACACTCCATCCAGAGATGGTCAAGAAGATTCTGTCCTCTTGAGTGAGCCTGAGGCTGGGGCCAGATCCTGGGTTTGTGCCTGTACTGATCCAGGAAGGTAGGGGAGACTGTACTATGTTTGGCATCCAGGGGCTTCCCAGCCTGTCATGTTCTGGGCCTGTCTTGTGGGTCTGACTCTCATTCTCTGCAGGTTGCCTATAACTCCTTGGACCCATGAGACACATACCCTTTTGACCTACAACCTTTTTCTGCTCTCAGCAGGATAACCAAACACACCAGTGGAAAAAGACCCAGTCCCTCAGAGGAGCCACTCAATCCAAAGGCATTTGGAAAACAGAAGACAACAGAGATGCTTTATTAACCATCAGACAGGCTCCCTCTCAAAGTTTGTGGTATGTGGATTATTATTCTGTCTCAAATTTTGCTGCTGCTCAAGAATTTTTGACTTGGCCAGGAAAAAACTCAGACTCCCAGCCTGTTCCTGCCCTTGTCTTAGTACTTTAGACGGTGGACTTGGACTTGGTGTGAAAAAATTACCAGCCCATATGGTCAAAGTAGGACCCACCCCCAGCCTTAGCCACACCCAGTCAGCCATCATCAGGCTTACCAGGAAAAGTGGGGCCTGGAGAAGCATGTGGAAGGAGGTGAAGCCAGGGAAGGAAGAGAGAGAGGTGAGGCACTGTCCAGGGGCAGGGCAGGAGGAACAATGCATCTTCTGGGCAGGGCAGGAAGGTCTTTAATGGAACAGCTCAGAGAACAGGGTGAGTCTGCATCACCACCCCAGAACCAAGGCACAGAGGAGGTTTGAAATGTCCAGGATAAATAGAATCAATCGGGTTGGAGAAAAAGCCAGCTCCATCCCTTTTAAAAAACAGTCTTACTGTGGGCACCAAAAATATATTAATATCTGTACATTTGTCATCTTTAAAAAAAAGGAACTAAAACCTCCTTGGCACCTTGTGGTTGGTCTCTTAAGAATGAGGTGATATGGAAGGCCATAGGTGCACACGTGACTAAGTCACACATAAAGCAGTGTGACACACACACGCACACAAGCACCAACATGGCTGTACACATGTGGGCCTCTGACGAAAGGGCAGAGCCCTTGGAACCCTGAGAATTAGCCCTGCAGGCACGTGAGCCTCTGCCCGCCTTGCCGCCTCAGTAGTCTGTCTGCAGGGCTGCTCTTTGCTGGTGTCTTGGCTCTGCGGTCCACGGGCTCCATTGCCCATCTGGTACTCAGGCTCCCCCTCAGCACATCTCCAGAGTTCTGCTGCGAGGAAGCAGGGCCTGTCTCTCTCAGCAGCTGTTTTTAGTCACTTGGCCTCACCCCTGCGCAAACACAGGCCCCCATGGTCTCAAACTCAGAAGGACTCTGCCTGTAAGACAGACTTCCAACAGTGAGCAGGAGTCAGTGCCTGAGTGCGCAGGGGTGCCTAGGTGTTCTGGCAAGAGGCTGCAGGGAGGCGAACCTGGTCCTTCCTCGGGCCTGCGCCGCTCAGAGGTGGGGGCTGCCCTGCAGCAGGGAAGTGACAGTATTCTGCAGGGCCACGGCCACTTTCTTGGAGGTCTTGCGTAGCAGCGGGCTGTCGGGGTGGTTCTCCTTGAGGTGCAGCACGTGGCCCTCCTGACTCTCAGAGGTACAGCCACACTCCTCACACACATAGAGCTTGGCCCGGCGCTCCTTGTACGCATACTTCTGCTGCACGCCATGGATCTTCTTGAGGTGAGACTCGAGAGAGCAGCGCTGGGTGAAGGCCTTGTCACACAGGCTGCACTTGTAGGGCCGCACACCTGAGGACAACAGGGGTCGGCATCAGGGCCTGACAGGGACTGTGGAGCCTGTCTGGAGCCTCCACACTCGGAAAGGTCAGGTCACCTGACTGCTGAGTAACCAACAAATGACTTTGGAATTGAGTCCTTGCTTATGAATCCAGGACTCTGCCCTCAGCTTGGGGTTGTGCCTCCCAGGTCCCAGGCAGGCCTCAGGCATTCCTTCCGCACACAGACTCTACTTACCGGTATGGGTTCTGACGTGCCTCTTGAGGTCAAAGGTGTCATTGAAGCCCTTCCCACAGTACGTACACAGGTGCCTCTTGACATCATTGTGACATTTCATGTGTCGGTTCAGCATGCGCTGGTAAGTGAAGGCCTTCTGGCAGATGTGACAGGTGAAAAGGTCTCCGTTCGGACTGTCCCCCAAGGTCACCTGTGGGTGAGGAAGGTGTCTAGAAATCAGGGCTATAGGCTGGCAGATCCCTTCCAGCCCCACAACACCCTCCAGAGGCCATAGTCTGTGCCATTTGCTAAGAGGAGCTGGGAAGAACCTCTGGGTATTGGCCCAGTTTCCTGTTGGGTCCCCAAACTCCTTTTGAGGCTGTCACCTTGAACTTCCCACCCTCCTGCCTTTACCTCCCACGTGCTGGGGTTACGGGAGTGTGCCGTTCTACCTGGTCTGCGTGGGGCTGGGGCTGGACTCAGGGCTTTGTGTATGCAAGGCAAGCGCTCTACCCGCCGAGCTAGATCTCCAGCCTTAGAAACAGTTTTCTTGCTTTTTACAGAAGTTGTTTATTGTATGTTTATGGGTGTTTTGCCTGCATGTATAAGTCATGTCTGTGCATCACATGCTTGCCCAGTGCCCATGGCAGCCAGAAGATGTCTTATCCCTTGGAAGTGGAATTACAGACAGCTGAGAGGGGCCATGAGGGTTCTGGGAATTGAACCCGGGTCCTCTGGACAGGGACTGGAAGACTGACGATCCATTTCTCCAGCTCTATCATTTTTTTTTTTTAATTATGGAAACTTTCAAATGTATGCAATGGAAAGACCAATGTCATGGCCCCTTGCCCGTTGCTCAATGCAGGTCTTACTCCATCTCTATCACCCTCCTGCTCCTTGTCTGGGCCATGTGACACACCCTGGTGGCACTACCAGACACTGTTTAGAGTAGCTGCAGCGGCATTCTAGGTGTGACTACAAAGGTGTGTCTGAGTGGCCAGTTCTCTTCCCTAACTCTGTTCGCATACAGTGACTGTCTGGGCTCTGTCAGGGGCCTGCCACTAGCCACTCCTCCTGAGGTCCTGGGCATCTGTCACACCACACTTCCATTTGGTACCCCTCCCTCTTTGGAACAGGACCTGGTCCTCTCTCTGTGCTGTCCTGTCCTGTGTTCTGCTCTCCCTACCTGTAGGAGTCTGAGGTGTAGAGGAAAGGCTGGCAAGGAGGATGAGGGATGCTTTAAAGATCAGGATAGTCCTAGTGTCTGGCTGTGGCCAATCATACCCCCCCTCCCATTATCTACCCCTGGCCTTTGCAGGGAGGAAGGGAAGGGACAGAACTCTCCTTCCAGCCACATCTAGTCTTTCACGTGAGGGATGGCCCCAGAGGGATACCCTTCCGCTAGATCTCTGCTGGCAGGTGCTCCCAGGCCCTGGGGCTTTGGGAGTGTCCACCCAGCCAGGGCAGCTGGCTGCTTCCTCTCCTCTGTCACAAGCCATCTGTACTGCCTCATGTGGTGCTACTGAGCGTGAGTGAGGGTGGGGTAGGGGATGCTCCTGCCCTGTGCACACCCCACTCACTGCCATATGCTTTAAGGAACAGCTAACTCCCCCACTGACCCGGACTTCTTGCTCCATGCAGTCCATATAGATCTCTGCAAGGAACACCTGGGCCTGGCTCTAGCTGGCTTCGTCACCTTGAGACTGTGTGAAAGGGTGGCTCTTTATCTCTCTTTTGTGGCCAGAAATGAGACTAGAACACTCGCTGATACAGACTCCAAAGGGTTAGTTGATCTATCTCACTTACTATCTGCTTCTTTCCTCCGTGTGCTCCAGCTAAGTGGGTCTCTATAACAGTTGCAGTCCAGGACTCACATGGTCCCCTGTGTCACATCTGTGCCCCAGATCTGTCTCTATACATGCCCCTGGACCTCAAGACAGAATGAAAGTTATTACCTTCATCTTGGTCCGTAGGAAACCCTGGTCTCTGCTCTGGGGATCTGTCAGATGGCTCACATCTTCAGGGGGCAGCTGGGCCACCACGCAGGGCCCCGGGGTCACACTATAGCTGGAGTCCCGAAGGCTCATGTCCAATGCCAGAGGGCAAGGAGGGGGTTCAGCCACCGATGGCTCTGGTTCCCGGTAGGGTGGTGGTGGGCAGAAGCCCAGGCTGACTGCAGAGAGAAGAACCGCAGATGAGGGTGGGTGGGAAAAGATCCACTGGAGTTCCAGGAAGGTCCCCAAGCAAGAAGGCTGGGTCTGTAGCCGCCATTCCTCCCGCTGCAGGCCTGTGATAGAGCAGGGCGGGCCCCGGGCCATCAGATGCTGCACCTCCCTCCTGCCCCATTAAGGTAATTACAGGTGACGCCAGCCAAGAGCCACTGCCCCCTGAGTAACTTCTCTTAGCGGAACTCGGAGGCCGGAGCTGCCCTGCCAATTACGCTGCAGTGTCTGCCTGCCCCACCTGGGCCAGTCGCCCTGGATTCCAGAGTGCCCTTACTCCTCTAGGGACAAAGGGCACCGCTGGAGGCCTGGCCAGGCAAAGCTCCTTCAGACTCATTCTAATCCTTGAAGGGTCCTTGGCAGTCTGGACCCTTTGGGGCCTCCCCTATGGGCAGACCTTTGGGATTGGGTGGTCCTAGCCTTTCCTCCTCTGACCTGATTACTGTTACTGTAGCCCATCCGGACTCCTGGGCTGAGGCTGGGCACAGCTCTGTCAGCAAAGAGGCCAGGTGGGTGGAGAGGGAGGAGGCCAGGGAGCAGCAGGTGGATGCTCGTAACAGTCAGTCTCTGGGCGCCCTGCCCAGCGCTTACACAACCCTCCCCCACCGCGGACCGCTCACCGTGGCAGCCAGGCTGGGCGCCCTCCGGCAATGCAGTGGCATCACCGATACCTGGCAGCCCTTTGACAAGGCCGCTCCCCTCAACAAACACCGTGAACTGAACGGGCCAGGCCTACAAGGCTGGGCTGGGACCCTGAGCCCCAGTCCTTATAGGACAAAGACAGGCAGGAAGTCTCAAGGCCAACAGAACTGGGACAAGAAGTATAATTTTCCAATTAGTCAATACAACCTAAGCTCTGTACTTAAAAACCTATAAATTAGGAAGTTTCCTAGTTTCAGAAGGAAAAGTCAAGACTGGGGCTGGTACAGAAAGGATGAGTGAATCCAACCGACTCAGATAGGGTAGGATTTCAGGGCCTCAAGCTAGGCCCTCTGAGTACTGTATTCCAAGCCAGAGCTGTGAATGGAGGGCAAGGACCCAGCTTAGGCTATCACCCTCACCTCTTCTGGGGGACCGCCAGGACTGTGGGGGAAGGTAAATATAAAAGTACTTGAGTTTCGGGAGAGGCCCAATTCTCGCCCCCTCAAAACACAACAAAGGTCCGTCGGAGGAAGAATGCGCCTGCCTGCCGCCCAGAACCCGTTCTTCTAGCGCTGGCGTCCGTCTGTCCAGGGGGTGGGGGGACCTTAATGAGCCACCTCATTCCAGGAGTTGATTCACTAGCGCCTGGCCCTGGCCTGGCACCTGAGCTGGCATACCACCTCTCTACGAGGCGTGCTGACTGGTGTCGGGCTCAAGCTGTGAGTCCAGCTTTCAGAGACCAGTCTGCCTACAGAGGGACCTGGTGACACCCAGGACTAGGACAGGAGAGTGGGGTCAGAGCAGTGGTGTCTCTGGTGCCCACTCACCAGACACACCCTGCTCAAAGTCCAAAACTAGGTGACAGTTTTGGACTTCTCAACCCAAGCAGAGAAAAACAGACACCTCTTCCACTCATCCTGTTACTTTGGGGGGCTGGTGTGAGTGCGGCTTCTAAACGCCAGCCCGGCCGGCCACACGGCCTGGGTGGAGGGTCAGCAGAGGGTGAGTGACAGCCTGGCAGGTGAGCTGCCACACTTGCTCCTTGGCTCTATGGAGGAAAGGCCGAGCTAGGAGTCTAAGGACAGCAGCCCATGGTAGAGGACTAACCCTTCCCCTTCTTCGTCCTACACAATCCCGGAAAGGCTGCTAGGGACAGCAGACAGGACAGAGCTGGCTAGACGGGCACGCCATGCTGCCTCTACCTGAGCAAAGGGCCAATAAGACTGCCAGGGTGGGGATGTTTGCCTCAACTTACCCACCCCACCAAACCTGTCTCCCCGCCACCCCCACAAGTGTGCGTCTCCCAGGGCCGCACGCACAGGGAGTATCCACTGGCATGCTATCCGCCTATCCTGAGTGCCACTGAATGGCAGGAGGCAAAACTGGTTGGGCCTTGCTGGTGCTCCTCTCTGTCCCCTAATTAGATGTTTCCTGCAAGGCAGTGGCCACTGTGGCCACTACTCATTGCCTCCGCCCACAGCCACGGAGTGTGGCAAGGCCAGCCCGGCCAGCCCTCTCCCTCCTCCTCAGGAGCTGGGGAGTCCTCTCCTATTGCCTGTACCCGAGGTTACAGAGCTGGCCTGGAGCAGCAGACCAGATATGAAAAGGCTGCCCATCCACGGGCCATCTCCTACCTTACCCTCTACAGGTCTCCTTTCTTTCCGTCACTGGCCCAAATACCAGGCAGATTGCCAGGTCCTAGCCCATAAAAGGTCTCAAGACAGGGCTGCCCATAGGCCTGATCCCCAGCTTTCTGGGGAGAGCAGGTTAAGTTGATGTGTGGATGCCTGACCTTTTGGGTCCCCAGCTGACCATACAGGTGCAGGTGTGTGTGTGTGTGTGTGTGTGTGTGTGTGTGTGTGTGTGTGTGTGTGTGTGTGTGAACTCTGTTCTGAATGTGGGTCTGCACACCTCAGGCTGGCTTTAGGCTGCCTTTTACACTGATCTGGAAGGGCTGGGTCCCTTGTGTTCAGCTCCCTTAGTCCTGCCGGTCAGCTAGCCGTCACCTGAAAGGAACAGTGGCAGCCAACTGGCAGATGCTGCTGTGCCCAGAGCACCACAGGCCTGCCCCTTAGCCTTTTGTTGCCCTTCTGTGGGATGTTGGTGTTCTCAAGGCAGGGGCTGTCTCCTTTCCAACTGCTTTCCTTCCATTCGGTGTCCGTGCTGAAGTCAGACTCCGCTCTTGGTCCTCGTCCAGGGCCTGGCCCTGAACGGACGAGAGCTGTACTTGCTGCCGCATCCTTCACCCGCTCCCTCAGCATGGACCGGGCTCCACCTGCCTCTCCGACGCTGTGTGGTGGAAACGGACCATGCCACATGCACCGACAGTGGCTAAGCTGTGCTCTCTGTCCTCCCAGCCGCAAGCATTGTCCTCACCACCTTTTCTGGGACAGTGCAGCAGCTTCTGCCCTAGGACATCCAAGCCTGGGCAGCTTGGGTGACAGTGTCTCCTGAGACAGGTGAGAGGTGCCTCTCCAGCTGCTCTTCTCTCCATGTCCTGGCTAGTCGACCTCTTCACTGCCCAGTACTCTCAGCAGTGGCTGGAACACTCCTGAAAGAAACTCCGCCTTCCCACACATGCTATATGCACTGGGAGCCCACAGCTGACTTTTCAGCCAGTCCCTCTCAGCCTGGCAGATCTCTGAGTTCAAGGCCAGCCTGGTCTACAAAATTATACCAGCACAGCCAGGGCTACACAGAGAAACGCTGTCTCAAAAACAACAAAAATGCCCAGCTTGGTGACAAACAGATCTCTTGTGAGTTCGAGGCCAGCCTGGTCTACATAATATAGTGAGTTCCAGGACAGCCAGAGTTACACAGTGAGACCCTGTCTCAAACAGCAATAATGACAAGTTGGTCAAGTCCCTATCCCATCTAGAGCAGTGTCAGGCTGGGCCATGTCATCTGGAGGAATACCAGGGGCTCCTGGATGACCCCATCTTCAGCATGTTTGTTTGTTTCTTTGGGACAAGGTCTCAGATGGCCTCAAATCTGTTATGTGTCTGAGGTTGGCCTTGAACTCCAGATCTTCCCGCTTGCTCCGTCCAAGTGCTGAGATTACAGGTGTGTACTGTACGTAGCTTCTGAGCTTTGGACATGTGCTGCCAGAAGAGACCAACAAGCCAGACTATTCCTGGAGGCGAGGCTTGGAAGTGGGGGGCCTCAGAGCCTGAAAGAGGCTCCTGGAATTCTCCTGGAGTTCCAGTTTTCAGGCTCAATCTGTCCCCAGGTCCCTTCCTGACTGTAACTCCCTCAGCAAGGACCAGCTCCAAAGGAACTGTCCCACAGCAGTTCCCTGAGCCCTTCCATAGTGCAGGAGTGGAATTTACCCCAGCTACAGCTACTTGCTTCATCCTTCCCGGTCACCACAGTAAACACACAACCAAACAGAGACTCCTGCACCAGGAGAGATGGTGGGTGGTGGGGAGAAGCCGAGTGAACCCCAAACTCTGCTGTCTTCGGCAGGGAGTGGATCATCTCCTCACTTGCCTGTCTTCCATTGCAGCTCCCCGCTCCCAGCTGTGTCCTCAGCAAAGCTGAAGGAGTGACCCTGGCCTGGGAGAAGACTCTGGAAGCTCGTGCCAGACAGAGGAAGGCTGAAGTGGGGACTGTCAAGTGCAGTCCCTAGGGCAGGCCCACAACACAGTGCCCTCAGTGCATGGTAACCCTTCCCTCCGGGTGGGCTCCATGATGCTTTGAGGGTCTTAAAAATCCCTGGCGGGAAGGTCAGAACTCACACACTCCCATGTCCCCAGCCCTCCCACCGGGAATGGGGTCATTGCTTAACTGGTCAAACCGTGCCCCAAGAGTCTGTGAGGTAGGGTGACAGAAACGTGCCTAGCCGGCTCCTGGGGTCATGGCTGGCTGGTGATGGAATGGTTCAGCCAGGAGACAAAACACACCCCTTGCACTCCAGCCTTCTGAAGCATCCAAGCGTAGACTGAGGCCATTCCTTTTTTATTTCCAGAACTGTGGGAAAGACCGCGGCTCCAGTGGGCCACCTAACTTACAGGAGGGAACTGAGTCCTGTAACTTCTACCCACAGGTCTTTCTCTTCATTCAACCAATGAGGGAAAATCTTCCAAGAGCTTATTTCCCACCCCGGGGCAGTCCTGAGAGAGGGAACAACTGTCTGCGTGTCTCCTCATCAAGACAGCAGTAGTAGGTGGCAGCGACCACAGAGGCCCCCTACCTACTCGATGGGACAGGCTGTGGGACCAGGTCTCTGGTCTTGTGTCCCTCAGATCTGTTCTGGAAAAAAAAAAAATCTCTAGAACCCTAGGAAGTCTTAATGATTTGAACAAGCAGAATATCTTTGTCCTCTGTGAAAGTCAACATATGATCTGTTACTGATTGGGATGTGAAATAAAACTAAAAATAACAGCACTCTAGCCTGGCTCAGACACAGCTCACCTTTAGCACAGTCCAAGTTCAGTTTATCAGATCCCTAGGAGCAGCTAAGCAGCAAGTCAAACCCAGGTTGGAGAGGAGGCTGGAGCTAGGAAGGGGCTGTGTCCCTCCCTCCCTGGCCTTCCGGAGGTGGAGCACTGGACACTTGGCCAGGCAGAAATCACAAAAGCCCAGGCCCACACCTCAGGTGAGGAGGCACCCTTCCCTTTTTACCTCCTGTTCCCCCACACTGGGGATCCTAGGGCCTTCTGGCCCGTTCCCTTGTTTAAGAAGCCTTCAGAACAGCCTTACAGCTCCTGAGATAAGGGTAAAACTTCCTACCACCCCTGGATCCTGGCAGGTCTCGCCCAAAACACCCACTTACACCCAAGACACCAACAGCCTATTCAAGAGAGAAATTGAGGCACGAACCCACACAGGGTCCCTCCCTCACCACCCTCATTTCCCCCACTTTCTTAAAAGCCTGGGTGGTGCCAGAGAGCCTGCTGATCAAGGGTCAAAGTCGGTTGGTTAATTACCACACTCCCCCCCCCCCTTGGAGGCTCAGGGTAGTGCGCTCCTGCCCCACCCCCAAGGCCGGGGAGCAGGGAGTTGAGAAGGCTCTTGCCTCCCGACCTAGGATTTTTGTATCGGGAGCTGAAGTGTCCTAGGACTCCAGGAAGATGCTGCTGGAGGAAGTTGACGCAAAGGCTGTCAAGGCATCTTCCCTAAATAAACTAGGTACACCAGCTTCCTGGAGTGTGTACCTTAGGTGTGGGGTGGGCTCCAGAACCATCCTTTGCTTAGGGTCCTCTGCAAGGGTGAACAGAGGTGGGACCCAACACCACCTTGTCTCAAGGGCAAGCAAGGTGCATCAGGTGTATTTCTCAGCAGCTCCTGGACCATCAGGCTGGAGGCCAGGGAAACTCGGTGGCCCTGAACCTCATCTCCTTATCTTAACCCGAGCAGTGTTGTGGGGTCAACTAAAGCTCCAAGTTTTCCTTTACAATGTAGCCCAAGTCTCAGCGGAAACTCCAGCTCCTTTCCAGTCCCCCGCCCTCCCCTCCGAAGTGGCATCGCTCCAGTGCTCCTCTCCTGCCTCATCAAAGTCCAGGTTTTCTGGATTTACGACGCGAGAGCGGAGGGGGTGGTGGGGGTGTCCTCCGAGCGGTGACACACCCCGCTGCGTCCCCTGCGACACGGCGCGGGCGTGCGATCCCGAGCCTGAGAGTGGCCGAGCCTCGGCTTGGGGCCCCTTCCCCCCGACCCGCGCTCCTCCCGCGCCGGGCTTCGGCCTGCGGCGGGAACCTGCGTCCCCCACGCGCCACTGACCGGCGCCGACCGCTCGTCCGTGCGCCCCGCCCTCCCGGCGCCGGGAGCCCGCGGTGCCTCACCTGGCACGTAGATCTCGCCGCGCTCCTCGTCCGGGAGTTCGCTCCAGTTCCTCTTGCACGTGGAGACGCATGGCTTCTTCACCAGGAACGCACGGGGCATCTTCGATCCCTCCTGGCCCGGTGCGCTTCGCTCCCGTAAGTCGAGTCCGGGTGGTCGTCCCACCTTTTCGGGGCTGAGGCGCGGGAATGGGGACAGTTCAAGAAAGGAGTCGCCGAGGCGTGCCCACGTTCTGAGGAAAAAGAGTACCAGGGACCGCGCGAGGCGCTTCCAACTCCGCCGAAGGTCGCCGGTGCCCGCAGAGCGGGTGCAGCCAGGTGCACCCGGATCGAGAAGCACCCAGTGAGCGTCCCTTGGCTCGACTGGCGTCCCTGCGGCCGCTTGCGATGTCTTCAAGTGCGAGCTGGACGGACGGGTTCACGCTTTATTGGCTCGCGGCGGTGTGTGTTGGTGGCTCGGGCGGGGGTGGGGTGGGGGTGTTGATCTGATCTAATTAGCTTGGAGTGGCCAGGAGAGCGATGGCGCATGCGTTGGGAAATAACGGTGACAACCCACCTATTTGTTACCTGTCGAACCGGTTTCCATTCCGCTGCGGGTGAGGTGGCCTCGCGGCCCGGGCGGGGCGGCTCGTCGGGGGTGGGAGGGGGGACGGCCCAACGGGGGTGAGAGGGGGGGCGGGCCCCGGTCCCCCCACCCAACAGCTCTCGGCCCGCCCCGGACCTGCCCTGCCCGGCGTGCTCAGGTTTGCAAACTAGAGTTTCGGAGGGAGCAGGCACCGGAAAGAAGGGAGGGCAACGTTATTTGCACCGGCGCTCGCACGCTCCGTGGGCGAGGACATAAAACTCGCCCAACAGGCCCGGGCCCAGCCTGACGCGCCTGGGGCGCCGGGAGAGGTACAAAGCCGCCAGGCGGGAACCCAGCGGCCCTGGATCCCCAAGGCCAGGCTGAGCAATTCTTGGTTCAGCACAGAGGTATTTGCTGGGCACCGGCTTCCTGCGGGAAGGCACGCAAGGCAGCAGGAACGCGTGGACCCGGAGGCTCGGACGCGCCTGCAGATCCAAAGCTCGAGCCTGCCTTCCGTTTGTGCGGGCGTTTAAACTGCCCTGCGTCCAACTTATTTGAGGCCAGCGCCTTGGCATATAGGCGGACGCTATCGCCCAAACTCTCCTGATCATAGGTAGCCAGATTTCGGATTCTGGAAATCTGCAAAAGACCAGCGGATGAGGACCCCAGCTGAGGTCTGACCCAGTCCTCTTTTGCCTGTTGCAGCCAGTACCCTCCCTGGGTGGGAACATGGCAAGCAACTACTCCCCATCCACCCTGCTGTATTCTTCAGCAGGCCCAGTTGGAATGACGCCCCACCCCTGCTGAACTGCCCGGGAGTGTTCCGTGGCCTTCATGAACCACTTCACTGTGACACTTGGGCCGTGGCTGGGTTTCTTTTACTGGCTGACCTATTAAAGGCAGGAACAGAACCTGCAGTTAAAGGCTGCTAACATTTTAGACTCCAGACCTCAGTACACCTTTCTCGCATAGTGTTCAATGTTTGCGGGAACAGATTGTGAGGGAAATTAGTCTGATAAATGAATTCACACAGTTCAAAAGTCAGGAGTCACAGGTCGTAATCCAGCACGTGGGAAGCTGAGACAGGAAAGCTGAGCGTCAGAGGCCAGCCTAAGTTTCCTCGTCAAATCCTATCTCAAAAGCAAAACGAGAGTCCAAAGAGACGAAGGCTCGACTCCCAGGCCCCACGTGGTGGAAAGAGAAAACTGATCCCAGGCACACTGTGGAGCTGGTGCCATGCACACATGGGCACAATGAAGGCAAAAAGGAGAGGAAGTGGTTAGGATGGGCTCAAAGGCATTCTGAGGCCGTTTCAAAAGTGGGAGTACTCGGAGAAACCCTGTACATTTCCCAGGATCTCTGTGAAGATGAGTGGAGGAGGGGGACACACCAGCCTCGTCCTCGCTGAGTAGGAAGTAGTTTGACCGAGGGCCTGACTCTCTTCCTGTAGAATCCGATCACCTGCCTCACTGGGTTACTGGGAAAGCGCTGTGGCATTTCTTAGGAGCCATTAAGGTTTACCGCTTCCCCTTGCTGTCCCTGGAGAGCTATCTACCATAGTCCACTCTTCCCTATCCACTTTTCATTCTGCTCTTGGACCTTGCTCTTCAACTGACACTAAGTGAGCACCTACTGTATGCTTATCTTTAGTAATAAATCCTAGGGCAGCGACATGGGTTGTCTAGGAGGCAGCTGAATTCGGCTTATCTCTCTCTCTCTCTCTCTCTCTCTCTCTCTCTCTCTCTCTCTCTCTCTCCCTCTGTTGCTTTTTTGAGACAGGGTTTCTCTGTGTAGCTCTGGCTGCCCTGGAACTGTAGACCAGGTGGCCTTAAACTCAGAGATCTGCCTGCCTCTGCCTCCTGAGTGCTGGGATGAAAAGTGTGTACCACCATAACCAACTTGGCTCACTTCACAGCCTGTTTGTCTTGCTTTCTTTTCTCCTCATTGAAATCCATTACTTTTTTTTTTTTTTTTTTTTTTTTGAGACAGGGTCTTTCTATGTATTGTTGTCTGTCTGTCCTGGGACTTTCTATGTAGACCAGGCAGGCCTTGAGCTCACAGAGATCCACCTGCCTCTGCCTCCCGAGTGCAGGGAATTACAAGTGTGCCCAGGTCCCACAGTATTTCTTGAGCTCCTTTGTAGTGCCAGTCCGACAGGCTGGTCCCAGTGAGTGCCAGGAGAGTCTATGGTGAAGTCTTCACAGGGGACCCTGGACACAAAGCTAGGCTTTCTCATCAGAGAGCAGTTTGGATGTCCAGGAAGCCAGGTGGACAAATGGGTGGGGCCCCCCAGTCGACTGTCTCTACTGGTACAGAGTCATGGTGAGCAGGGCGAGGTCCAGGAGAGATGCACTTCATCTGTGCCCATCTGTCTGCTGCTGCAGCTCCAGTGGTGTCTCGCCTTTACATATTTACTTATTTCTTTTCTTTTCTTTCTTTCTTTTTTTTTCCTTCAAGACAGGATTTCTCTGTGTAGCTGTGGAGCCTGTCCTGGAACTCGCTCTGTAGACCAGGATGGCCTCGAACTCACAGAGATCCACCTGCCTCTGCCTCCCAAGTGCTAGGATTAAAGGCGTTCGCCACCACTACCCAGCTTTTTATTTACTTCTTTTATGTGTATGAGTGTGTTACCTGCATATGTGTCTGTGCATCACATGCATGCCTGGCGCTTGAGGAGGCCAGATGTGGGCACCAGATGTACTGGGACTGGAGTTGCAAGCAGTGCTGAGTGGCTATGTGGGTGCTGGGATCCTTTGGAACAGCAACAGGTGCTCTTAACTGAGCCATCTCTACAGCTATTCCACCCTATTTTATAAGAGTGTCTTTCTCTTGGCTCAGTCTGGGAGGAAGGGACTGGACCTGCCTGGACTGAGTCTACCAGGTTGATCGCAGTCCTCAGGGGAGGACTTGCCCTGGAATGGAGGTGGGAATGGGGGGTGGACTGGGGGTAAAGGGAGGGGGGGGGAGGGGGGAGAATAGGGGAACCCGTGGCTGATATGTAGAACTGAATGGTATTGTAAAATAAAATAAATTAAATTTTA